CGAGGATGGAGGTGCTCAGGTAGAGGATGTCTCTAAATTGGGGATGAAATCCTCCAACGCCTGCTCCTCTGAGGGCTGCATGCAGCCAAGACAGGCTGCCTTGGGAGGTGGTGGAAGAGGCTTCTGCTTCTGCAGCAGAATGTGGAGAACATGAGGTTCCTCAAAGGCGCCCAGGCATGGCTGGTCCCGAAGGGTGGCTGTTCCCCAGCCGCTGAGACAGATGGATCTCAAGATAACAGCCTGAACCCTGACATCCATCTCACGGCCAGAGCAGAAGCATCTGTTGAAATTCCTGCTTTTTGGTATCTAGAAAGAGATAATAACACGAGGAAGACCTTCCCTTTGTGTTTTCCAGGAAGGGGTGAAAAGGCGATTCTCACAAGAACTAACACTCCCGAGCCTTTGAACACCGGCTTTTCAGTCAAGGTATTTATTACGGCTGCGGAACCATGGCCAGAGGCAGTGCTGAACTGGATGGACAGGATAGACCTCCCCATCCCGCCCCCCAACATGACCCCTTGCACTGAACATCGTCCTCCATCCAGCCCATGGGGCTGAGAAGCTAGGGACCCACTGCAGCACTGATCCCTTGCGTGCTGAGGCAGGAGCCAGCGCGGCGGGCCAGATCCTCTGCCTGGTTGTCTTTGTGCACCCTCACACCCCACCGACACATGCTGGATCTGAACAGAGCTGTTGGGTTAGGCACCTGCACTGATGGAGCTGGAGGCACAGGATCATCTCCATCAGGGAACCATAGAATTGTATGGGTTGGAAAAGACCTTGAAGATCATCAAGTCCAACCGTTCCCCTAACCCTGCCATCCCACCACTCAACCCTGGCCCTAAGCACCTCATCGATCCTTCTTTCAAATACCCCCAGGGATGGGGACTCAACCACCTCCCTGGGCAGCCCATTCCAGAGCCTGACAACCCTTTTGGGGAAGAAATTTTTCCCAATGTCCAATCTAAACCTGCCCTGGAGCAACTTCAGACCATTTCCCCTCATCCTATCACCCGTTACCAGGGAGAAGAGGCCGACCCCCACCTCGCTACAGCCTCCATCAGGCAGTTGTAGAGGTCACAAGCAGGATGGAGCCACCAGCCTGAACACAAGCCCTCACACAGGTGGTCAGTTATTAACTGAGCTCCGCTGGCAGCGAGATGCCAGCAACCGTGGAAATGGAGATGCCAGCAACCTCGTGTCCCGTCCCATCCCACTGGTCCCTGCCCTGCCACCGAGCCTGTCCTTCCCCAGCCCCAGCTATGGCAGTGCTGTGCATAAAGAGGAGGTGAAAGCCTCGGAGCCATCCGACACTTTTCTAGTTGGGGCAGAAAGGAAGAATATGATGGAGTCACAACTGGAAGTTCATCCCCGTTAATCCTTGTTACCACTCGAGAAGCCCAACTTCCAGGCTGCTGCATTTCCCACCCCCCCTCCCAAGATTTTTTACACAGTTGACTTTATCCTCCATGTAGCTAAATTCTCTCCTGCTGTTCCACAGCAGACAAGTTCAGGTGCACCATGAATTACAACGAGGGAGACAACGCAGCACACGACAATTTTAACGGCGTTATTTTCTGCCTTGGGTAAGAGCCCAGCTGCTGTCACCCAGCTATCCCTGTTCTGGCTTATCCCGAGCCTCGGCGCTGAGCTGCTCTATAAATTCAGTATTACAGCTGGCAGGAACGCCGGGGACTCCCAGATGGCTCGAGACCATCGGGGGTCAGCCGGCTTTTGGCGGGGCACTGCGGCTCAGCTCCCAGCTACGTAAATCCAAGCCCCTGTTTTGTGGAGCAGCCGAAGATCTGGCCCAGGATTTTAAAACCCGCTGCTGCTTTGCTGTTCCTGGTATTTCCCCAAAAAGCGATCACCCAGATTATCGGCTTGTTTTGTAGTAATAACCCTGGGCCCTCGAGGTGACAGGGAGAGGTACCGGGAAGAATGCAGCAAGGTGGGTGTGACGGAAAATCACCGCGGGTTGTGTTCTCAGATGCTGTGCCCTCAACAGGGCCAAGATCAAAGGGGTTTGCCTGACTGAGTCTCACCCAATTAAGCAGGACTTTGCTTCTGCCTCTTCCTCCACCTCACGTCCCATCCTGAGCTACAGGCAGACTTTGACTTCCATATCTCAGGAGCAGGAGCCAAAGAGGAGATGCAGAGCTCCCAGGCCCCGGTGTTTCTTTAAGTTGGAGGTGGTCAAGGGACATTCGTGACCCTGCCCATGTTTCAAGGTTTCTGCTCAGCTGGTTACGCTCGAGAGGCGGTTGCGATGCCACCCTTCCTCTCTGAACCACTCAGCCCGCTCCAGCACCAGGTCCACCCACTCTACCAACATGCATCCTCGAAGATGCCGTTGAGTCAGTTCCTGTTCCTATGGCACAGCTCTATTCTCAGAAGGGTGAGCTGGTTTTTTCCTGAGACTGGAAAATACACTTCTTTATTTTCCATTCTTTTTTTTTTTTTTTTTCTTTCCATTGACACGACTGTCTGGACTCCACAAAGGGCAAAATCAAGGTGGGACAGCCCTTCTTCCTGGGCTGTTTCCAACCCCAGTGGGATTGAAGTGTTGGCTATTTCACAAAGAGGAGCATTCATGAGATGATTTTGTCTCCCAGGGTGACCTTTCAGGCCTAAAGGCCTCCGAGCCGTTGACAATGCAACCAAAATCGGCCATTCTCAGAAGTCTCTGATTTTCCTCGGTCGCTTCAACCCCCCCGGTGGTGGAGGTCTGAGGACCCCAGGTCCCCTTCTGTCCCTCTCATCGGGAATTCCAGCGGAGCAGGAGCAATTCCTTCCCATTGAACAGGACAGGAGAGGAACAGCACCAGGAGGGCTCAACGACAGCCGCCTCCAAGGAGGGCTGGGCAACCATTTTTGGCCCAAACCTGCATTTTTAGAGTGATGATAATATTCGATAAATTCTTGTCGATGCCCCAAAAGGGATTTGATCTGCGGTTTTTCAGAACACACACTGAAAAAAGTTCAAATGTTTGTCTCAGGTTTCATACCGAAGTGGATTTGCCACTTAAACCGGTGGCTTTTCCTCTCTCTCCGCTTCTCTTTAAAAATGTTTTTCTTCACCTTGAATGCTGGGAAAACTTGGGAAATATTAGAAATTTTTTTTTTTCCGTGATTTAACTGAAACATCCCATTTAAATCTCCTCCCTCCTGAACTATTTCTTTCCAGTCTGCTTGCACACAGGCGAGCTGCAGGTGGGGTAAACCAAGGACGGCACGTAAATGAAACCTCTCCCCCTTTCGCACCTCGCTCAGCACGGTGCGGGACGGTTCCCCTGCGCGGCGGCCCAGCGTCCTGATACCGGGATCAAAACTTTCTGCGGGAAACAAGCCCGATGGCGAGAGAGCGGGAGAGGAAAACCGGAGGTACCTCGTGGAGAATCCCGCTTTTTAAAGCGCTTGTCCCTCGGGATACGCCGGAATGCATCCTTCTCTGCGGCGCGGGGCAGCAGCATGCCCGCTGTATTTAAGCCAGGGCTGTTTTCCCACAGCGAAAGGCGCCGTGATGCTTCAGCTCCTCTCGGGATTAACGCTTCTCACCACACCCCCTCAGATTTCGGTGTTTAGGGGTTGGGGTTTTTTTTACCGAGTTAAGGAAAGGGGCGAAATTCAGGGAGCTGGCCCCAGGGGGGTGATGTTAAGAGCAATCTTCTCTTTGCCTCCTCTTCCCCACCAGTTCGCTTCCCTGGCCAGATCCTTCACGCGTGGCTGGGAACCCTGACATGCTCAAATCCACGACCCTCCCAGCCGCAAGGTTTTTTCCCCGGTACTTGCCAGAGACGACAGCAGAGTCCCGTGTGTCATCAGTTTATTGAAAATATTTTATTGCTTTCTAAAAATCCGTTTTAATAAACTCCAAAGAGATACAGTAAGTAGACCAGCAAAATTATTTAACGAACTCAATTATCCGGCATCTTCTTTCTCTGCAGGAAGAGAGCCAGCTCTGTAAGAGCAAGCTGAGACAGACCTGGCTTTGCCGTAGTTCCTAGAGGTTGAGCTCCTCCGACTGCACAGCGTTTACGCTTAAGTTCCAGCAGAACTTCAGGTGAAATCAATGAACCAAGTCATTGGTTTCAGCTGGAGTTTGATCAGCACCTTGCACCTGAGTCAGGTAAGAATAAGATCAACGTTTTTCTGAGGCTAAACCAGCCACTCGCGGCACGGCCACGTGGCCTTTCCCAAGGGAAACTCCTCGTGTTGGCTGGAAACTTCATTTCACCCCCTCCTGGGTCAGCAGCCGCCGCCCTGCACTAAATCTGCGCTCCAGAGGAAGCGCACCATGAGATGGGCACCGTTACGCTGTAAGGCAGGAGACCAGCTTCTAGCACCCCCAAAGGCGGTGCAGATGGTTCCCCTGAAATTCATACTCTGGAAGGTAAGGTGGGGAGGGAGGCTCTTCCACAATGCTCCGGCACTCCTCAGGAGATGCTGTCGGGGTCATCAAAATGGTAACTCCACCCTCGCACTGACGGTGAAATACAGAAAATGGCATCTGGGATAATGGCGTTTCTCTTTAGCGTTGGGTTCTGTGGCCTCCGTTTGCAGAAGACGTACCAGGAGACAGCCCCCGCTCCCGTGGCCGGGCTTTGCCTCGCCTGTTTTAGAAAATTCACTGTGCTCACCAGTGCCCGAACACATCTCCCCTTCTCCCCCTCCCACTTCAAGTTTCACGCAGTGTTTTCCCCCCAACACGTAATTATGAAACGCTTCCCTGGGCCCCAAAACGAAGGAATTAGCTCCCAGTGGAAGGAAAAAAGCTCTGTTACCCTGGGGCCAGTCCCACACCGATACAACGCTTTTCTTTGGCCACGTCTGGTCTGCAGCGAGAGCTGGCAGGCTCCGTCCGTGAAAATTTTACTTCTGGGTGGCTGTGGTGTGTAAGCCAGCTCCGCACCGGGACAGGTTAGCAGTATCCATAGAAAGATGAGTAAGTCACCCCTACAGCTGGGAAGCCTCCCCCATTCCCCGATTCGACCTGTACGTCAGAGGCGGGTGTGATTCTCGCAGCCTTCGTCGGGGGCCTGCACCGGCGCTGCCTCTTCCGAAGCAGCTGTGCCCACCCCGTTGTGCACAGCGCGGCCGCGATCCGGATGTTCTTCCCGGCCTTTCGCTGTGCAAGTGCCGCTGTGAGGAACCAAGGTGTGTTTCTTCTGCACCCGCTCCAGTATCTGCAGCACCTGGAATTAGTAACCACAGCCATGAGTGGGTTAGTAATTAGGGGGAAGCACTAATGTCCTCTCCAGCTGTTGGAATAAGGTCCTATTCTCTTTCAAGTGACACGTCTGGGCTCAGTCTTGGGATTACACTAAGCATTCCATGGAATCACAGAATCGTTTGGGTTGGCAAAGCCCTTGAAGCTCCCCCAGCCCAACCGCTCCCCTACCCCTGCCATCCCACCCCCAAACCCTGGCCCTCAGCAC